CTGATACTGGCTTGAAAGTAGATTTGGAGATCATCTGCATAGAGGTGGTAGATAAATAAAGATTAAGTTTAATGGAATTGACAAACAATGCAAAAAGAAGAGGACATAATACGCCACCCTGAGGAAAGCCAGCAGTAGTGTTGCACCAAAATGAGTAAGTATCCTCAATACGAATACGCTGCCGATGCCCAAACAGGTAAGAACGAAACCAATCAATGATCGTTGAACATGTATTAAGAGGACATAAAATGGCGAGGAGAATGTCGAAATTCACCGTATTAAAGGCATTACTAAAATCCAGTAATGTCAACGCCGTCAATTGCAATTTGATCATGCCAAGCCGATGTCATCAGAGATTTTGATGAGAACAGTATTCGTACTGTGACCTGGATGAAAACCTAATTATAAGGGATTTAGGAGACAACTTTTCAAAAGGAAATTATAAATCGGTTGGTTCAGAAGGCGTTCTAAGACTTTGGAGAGAAAAGGGTATAGGTATAGGTTATTTATTATATCTAAAGATTTCACATCTTTGTATTCATATTACTAGCTTTTACCCGCGAATTAAAACGAAATGTCGTTGTATATTCTAGCCTTTATTTAGAAAACAGCTCATCAATTACGTCTTTGCCTTTCTGTAACTAATAAAAAGTAGACAAGAAAATTTACCAACTCTTTTAACCAAACTGGTCCAGCCGCTCTTGAGTTGTGAACTTAGTGACACATTCAGTTTTATTTATAAAAGGTTACAAATTAACAAATTGTGATAGTTAAATATAATTAAAAAACGGGAATAATTTTTATTTAAATTTTTATTGTCTTTGGTTATACAAAAACACGGATTAGTTTTAAAATAACTTACAAAAAACACACTTATTATATTTTATATTGTAGATTAAAAATACGAAGAAAACTTTGGGGATATTTTTAATTCCGGAAAATTATAAGTATAAAAAATATTTAGACAAAGAAAGCAGTATTTGATACAGGCTTATATTTTGGGTTTTTAGAGTTTATCTCGGTGTTACAAATTACACTGTCCATCAACTCCTTCAGAAATTATGCTGAAAAAGGTATAATTAGGCTAGCTCTTCAATCGCCTTCTCTTTATTTGAAATTGAATTACATTACATTAAAAATTAAAAGAAAAATTTACCAATTAGCAGTGGAGTTGACTATGCGCCTGGCGGCGTTGCATCGACAGGATTATAACAAAATCGCGATATTATATCTGTCTGTTCTTGAGCCCTTCCGAACGGAGAGATGTAAATCGCAATCACTCACAGTATATTCCCGACAATGTAACGTCTTGCGAGAGTGAACCCCGCGAAATCATATGTTTTTACCATTTCAAAGACTCACAAAATACAACATCATAAATAACGAAAGCGGAACTATATCACTGCCGTCCCTTTCGTTCTACAAATAGGCTTTACAATTATTAATTAAATATTTTCAGTTCATTTTACTCCCTTGTTAGTTAATGATTTTAAAACCGACATATAAAAATTCGTTATTAAACACAGGCGATTAGTCTTATTACATGTGAGGGGTTAATACTGACACAGAAGCCCTCACTCCCTTGTTCGTTTCATATCGGTCCTCTAATGCGTTGATACTCGATAACATTATGTGGACAATGTTAAATGAAATAAAGAAATAATAAAACAAGTTAATCAATATAAATCCAATTTTAAAATAATACCATGTATGTAATATATATATCTGATAATATTACTTATAATAAATATATTAGGTATTAATTATTAGGTGATTTGAATAATGTTGGGCCAAAAATGGTAGTTTTAACAACCGTACAGGCCATTTTTGGTCCAACCACGCGCCGGCCTATGCTCTCCTCCCTGTGTCAAAGAATACATAGCACCAAATCACATTCGGTGGCTTGTACACTTTGATGCGCCAGGCATTTCAGGGTTGAGAGCGCAGGGAATAAGTACAATGCAATTCAATTTGGCTGACTGACGAGGCTTCGAGCTTGTCATAAGTAGAATCTTCAGTCCCATACACGATGACTGCACTAATATACAGTAGTACTTCTTAAAAAAAATATTTCAATAAAAATACAAAGGGTATATTCACATACATAGAACACCACCAAAGCCTAACTGCGGTTGCCAACCCACCTGCCAAGTGTGACAACTGACAAAATCCCCTATGTTCAACATTGGACAGTAAACGGCTTATATGATGATAATTATTAATATGTGATATTTAAAAAAAAAAATTCTATAATAAAAATATTACATGAAAGAGCCAAAACGAACCGCCGTCGTGTATCCTAGCCTTTATTTAGTAAACGGTTCGTCAACTACCTCTTTGCTCTTTGGTAACTAATAAAAAGTGGACAATAAAATTTGAACTGTATGACCTACATAATTTATTTGGTTGATTTTTGTACTGTTTATTAATTAATGGTACGTAAGAGTACAATTAAGAAGGTCTTAAAATAATTATCAATATTTTTAAAACCGTGATAGCATAGAGTATATAGTTAAGAGAGTTTCCTCAAATAAAGTTAAACAGTACGCGAAGAAAAGATATTACGATCATCACGGCATCCGATATATAAGTATTGTATTTAACTCTATTTAGAAAACTCAGTTCAACTAATATACATATAAAAGAATAGATATTCAATAAATATTTGATGACTGAAACGATAAGATGATAATCATTTAGGATTTTGTTCCAAAAAATACACCGACTATAGTAGTGAAAAAACGAGTTATTTTGATTAAAAAACTAAATTACTGGATTTATTTTAATTTAATTTCTATTGGACCAATCTGAAAGTATTTCCTTTAGTATAAAAAGTAAATTTCCAAATTGGTTTATAAATAATGGAATTTTGAATTCGTAAACATTAAAAATACCACCAAATCAAAAACGTCCTTTAGTCCGAACCAAAGTAGGTTCTCAATTTGAAATTTTAGTTGAAAAAGACAAGACTTATGATAAGATATTGAAGAAGCAAGATAAACCTTCGCAATCGTACTTTTCACGCGGTAGTGATTCGTATAATGCATCGTGGGTACATGTTAATAGGGTTAAAAATCTAAACTTACGGGACATTCACAAATAATACCATTTTAAAACTAATTTACTGTGCGCATTATACGTTTAGGAATTAGAATTATCTACCAAGAAGTATCTACAAATACAATAGTTCGTCGTAGATTCAACGCAAGCTGTGCATCGTCCGGAAACCAAATTAGTATACGACTAGTTTAACTACACTTATAATGACACTCAGTACATCTATAAGACACTTATTAAGGTTTGAATAGTAATGGAAATGCATTTAAATATTGTTTTAGGCAACAGAATTATGTAATAGTTTATACAAGTATTACATATTTCTGCAATGAGGCCTTCCTCCTTTACCCGGGCTTAGGACCGGCACATAACGGGCTATGGTTACCATAACTCGTTATGAGGCGGAGTTAGCCTAAAACAATATCTAACTTAAATTTTTAGATTAATTGTTACTGTCAAAAAAAAAATATTTTGGGAGTATGTCGCAGGACAAACATAATTTAAATAATTTTTACTAATATTATCAATAATGTTACCAGACATTTTGGATAAAAAAAGATTTTTGAAAATAAGTTTCCAATTAAATATAATAATAATTCATATACATTAAAAATATATATAAAAACATTATCTTAGTTTATATACTGATAAATTTTTGTTTTTTGTTTTCAAAAAATAAAATAAATATAAATTAATAAATACACATAATTTTCAAGATAGAAATATTTTCTGTTTATTTATAATATAAATACATAATTTAATGCATCAGTATATATATATATATATTAAAATATATATTTAATAATATCCAAAAACAACTTAAGTTTTATTATATAAACGATTTGATATATTATATACTTTTAGTTTTATTAAATAATATTATTAATAAATAAAAAAATATATGAAATAAATAAATAATTTAAAATTATTATTAATAAGTATATTATTATAATAAATTTAAATTATATAAATAAATATATATATATAATAATAATAAATTGCTTGTTTTTTTTTTGATACAACAATTTAACCAATTTGTTTTTTGTTAATTTTAGTAGTTTAAAATAAATTTTGAAGTCTTCTTTTGAATTTGACTGCGAACTATTGTATTTGTAAATATATTTTGGTCATTGCGGTATAAGTTACATTTGTGGAGTTACGCATTTCAATACACCGTTATACTTCTAAACATATATTTGGCATTAATTTTAACATATAAACTTTTCAGAAAAAAATTAGAAACATTAACAATTTATTCAATTTCAGCTCGAGTACGAAACGATACAATATATGTGATTGAAAAGAACTGTATCACTCTTTTTAACTTTGTAACACTATATATTAATAATATATATATAAATATATGAATTTTTAATATCTATCTATAATAAATATATATTTCGTTTCGTGGAACTAAAATCAATCCAAACTATAACAACTTATCATATACTTTGGCACTTTATATAAAATATAACTATTAAAATGCGTAACACAACATGGATTGTATAAAATTTTTGTATTATTCAAAATCTAGGGCTTAAATATACAATATCTCTGATATATTATAATAATTATACTATCTCTACACGTACATATATTAATAAATTGGTTAATAAAACCTCATTCACAACAAAAGGAACGTTGTACGACACTCATAGAATTGATGTATATATTACACATACGATATATAAATACTTACACACCCATTACTTGTATATAAGTAATATTTAATAATAATAATAACTATTAATATTAATATAATGCCAATACAAATATCATAGACTTACGAAATAACGAATTAAATGTTTTATTTACAATATTATATTTTTATATATATATATATATATATATATATATATATATATATATTATATATATATATATATATATATATATATATATATTAAATACACATATTTAGAATTTAATCAATGTTATATCCCTTTTGCTACTTTGACACACAAGATTTTTTTTTTATTCTCACATTAAGGACTATAGATCACTATATTCCTTAATCTAAAGACTTACACATGAACTCATGTATTAACGCTGCCATTACACTTTTAAATTTTTTATCCGCTATCGTTATTGATCCAAATAACCGGATAGTAATATATTTCAAATGGGTTCAATTCGTGTTATGTATTTATGTAAACATACGTTTATCTTTATAACTATCTGAAACCCTGATGGTATAACAGTATCCAGTGATTTGTATCAACATTATTAGGATTAAGAAATTCAACCATCTAACATCAGCCTTCCGTATTATAATACTGTTACTCGTTTAACTCCCATCGAAATCACTGCTCGTTATCACAAAAGTGATTCAGTTGCTGGCAAATATACCATATATCTATCTCCCGTTTCATTTATATTTAAAAATCCTATCAAAAGTGAGTTAAAAGAGCAGTGACAGGGAATTAGCTTAATTGTTTAATATGAAATCGTTGTATGATTCATTCGCAATTGTGATTTTTAAGATAAAAGTAAAAACGTCATTGGAAGCTAAGTCACTAGTGATCAGAAATACAGTAGTTGAAATACTAATGCACGACAGTCGTTTAAAAGATCTTTCGTCACACGAACACTTAAATATAAATATTTTATTCACATAAAGATTGAATATTGCTTAGAAATTTTTTTTTTTGTTATTTATAATTATATCCTTACACAAAGTAACGTATAAAACACAGATTGAAGACATGGTAAACAAGGCAAAACTCTCTCTTGTAGATTACTATTCGTTCAAACACACCGACGCACTAAACCTAGTGTTGGTTCAAATAAATGTACACCGTGAGAGGCATGATAATACTGATATCGGAGTAAACTCCATTAGAGCTAAAGTTTTAGAATTATTTATTAAAGAAACAAATAAAGCGATATAACACAACGATAACAAAAATATCACAGGGCCTGTTAAAAACAATTAACAAACATTTCATTATTAACTTTAAAATTGGAATAACAAGGGCTTGAATTCTTTGACAAGATCAAAACTTTCTTTTTAATCAACAGAAGGAAAGAAAGAAACGAGAAAACAATATCCCTGCTCTAAATTCGTAATTGTTACCCTAGAAGCTCAACCTTTAACCAGAACACCAGTAGAATTTTTCGATTAGATATTACATACTCATGATTAAAGACTAGATTGTTCACTACGACTTTAAAAATTATGCTATACCTTTCGATCTAAACACTAATCACTCTTAGAATATTTGGGCAATTTATGTTTCATATTTAATTTTTTTTTTTTTTATTTAATCAAAACTCTTCTTACAACAGAAGATTCGTAAACAAATTGAAACAACTTAACGATGGATAATAATATCACATAAAGTTACGAAACCTACAAATCATACGTCTACAATGGACGGGACGACCAACTCACTAATGAAAATCAAAATGCTTCTCTTGATTGCTTCACGGGGAAATTAACGCAGTGTTTTTTTATCATATCTGCATTAGGTATAATATTTTTAATTTTTTTTATTTTTAGCGTACCGTGTAAGGAATCACCGAGGTTTACTTTTTTATTATACTATGTACACGTATAATGAATATATGTGAATATGTAATAAATAGTATTGTAAACATACCAATATATATATTTTCGTTTGCAGAAATTCAGAGAGAACTAGCAATCTAAATATTTACAGAACGTAACATTTTCAGGAATATTATTCTGAAGAAAAGAAAAATTATGTGTTCAAAATTGAAAAGTCCATTTAAAGTGCATTATCTATAAACGATCGCTGGTTCCATCTGAATTACTGACCTCTTATCTATTTCTATGTAAACACTGAATTAAAATGTTAACAACTCAATTAACTACGGTATTAAAATGGAAAGTAATTGTTGCATAAGTTAAAAACTACCAATATTTTCTTAATTAAACAATAATAAAAAAGGCAAACTCGGTGAATCTGCTCACATCAGTACCGGGTACCAAAATTGGGCAATCTTCATTTCGGTACCTGATCTAGAAAATGATTTTCCAATCACCGATACCGGTATCGGGTACCCCACATACTCTTTCTCGAAGCTCATAAACCACACTATCAAAACTAGTTGTACACACCTCTAGTCATGGCTTCTCTATTTCTGTTATGCCACTTACAAGTCAAAATTCTTACGTACGTTCTTCTAAATGTTGCGTTACAGAGTGCATAGCAGACGGGATTTATGGTCGAGTTGACGTAACAGAGAGCGTAAAAGAAAGACCACAGTTCATCTGGGATGCACTTCGTGCATGCTGTTAGAGGTTTTAAGAGCACAAGAATATTATAAGGCGTCCATGTTATAATAAATGATAAAAGTATGGCGGAGAGCGTCTTCGCTGCTTTCGTCTCTTGTTTTTTCTCCTGCGTTTTCTTTTTCTTTGGCTGCTTCGTTATTCCCTTTCCGGCTAATTGTTTAGGGATTATTTTGGCATTGAGTGGTATTCTAACGTCTTGTATGTGGGACGCTCTTCTTGTTAGCGCTGGGTGTCCAGCAGGATGGAGATTCAACTCGGAATCACCTCTCGTTGGCGGTCGATAGTGCGTTCTAGTGTTTGAAGGTGGCGATTCTTCTGTTATCATCTTTATCGTTGGTCTCTCCGTATCGGCGTCTGGTAATCTAATGACGATGGTGTAAACTGAGTCGGCTGAGGCTGATTTGGGTGCTGGTGAGGTAGTGGCGTTGATTCTTGTGTTGGGTGGTAATGAGCGACTATCTCGTGCTGCTGGCATGCCGCCGAGTGGCGGTTCATAGGTTCTCCGGAGTGGTGAAGTACCACCGTCAGCAGCTCCAGATCCACCTGAGCCACCACGAGATGCGTACGGATCTCTGATAACATTTAATGATGTACACCTGTGAACAAATTAATTTTAAATGGTATCAAATATACATCATGCCATTTCAAACAGTTTCAGATACGTTATTTTCTTCTCTTAATCTAATAAAGAATGGTTTAATTCTACACACGAATATAAAATGAAATACCATTTAAATTCTACTATGTTCATAAGATAAAAAGAGACACCAGAGGGAGACTTTGTACAAAAGTCGTTTGCTTGGGCACCTCTGTCCCATTCGTGTTTCAATTATAAAGCAGTTGTGTTTGCATGGCTGTGTTTCGGTTTGAAGGGTGGGATATGGCGTGAATTTACAGGGTACAGAAGAATAACACCTGAGTCCGCAGGAATGGCAACAAATGGAGGGGGGAGGGGGGTTACATGGGCGAAACAGTATACTCTGTTATGTCCATGGTACTGCTCATGTCTATAGGCGACGGTTACCACTTTCCATCAGATGGGCCCTCAGCTTGTTTATCATTCTAAGTTGTATTTAAAACAAGATACTATATGGGCACAAAATAGGAGAACTTCTTTTAAGAATAAATCCACAGTTGCACTAGTAATTCCAGAGACTTATTGCTCTTACTTTATTTCTATATTTCTATCTATATATTTATAAAATTACAAAAAAAAATATGTAGTCTATAAACTATCCTAAAGCATAAATACATAAAAACTCATGTCAAGATATTTGTTCGAGTTAACTTCTGAAACCGCTCAACCGATTTGAATAAAATTTTATAAATATGTATTGTTTGCTCCAACATGATGGGTAGGATCGTTTTTATCTAAATAAAAAAACATTGACTCTATAGATAGGAGACAAAACGTTTGTCGGATCAACGGATAATGATTACCTGGACACAGAACTCTGCAACGGCGTCTCCACTGAGACTGGTGTCGCATACCCTGGATCCGAGGGTTCTTCTTCCGGCTCGGTGTCTTCCAGATCTTCCCTCCCAGAATGCCACCATGCCACGCACCACGCACGCACTGCGCCCCAACCACGCCTCGGACGACAAGAAGAGCGTGATATCTGGGAAACAATATCACTGGTTAACTTTATATAAACAAAAACTTCGGTAGGAAAATGTCTAGCGGAAACAATATTGTATTAAAATAGGAAACCTAAAAGATATTTAAAACTGTGTTTTTTTTTTATGCAACTTGGAATGACAAACAAGCTGACGACCCACCTGATGGAAAGTGGTAACCGTCGTCTATAGACATGTGCAGTACCATGGACATAACAGAGTATACTGTGTCACCCAATATACCCCCCATGTATTGCCATTCCTGAGGACTCAGGTGTTATTTCTCAGGACCCTGTAAATTCACTGCCATATCCCATCCTTTAAACCGAAACACAACCATGCAAACATAACTGATTCACGGTTGAAACAAGAATGGAACAGCGATGTCCAAGGAAACGACTTTTGTACAAAGTCTCCCTCTGTGTACAGTGTGGCCCCTGTATAAAATGAGTCACGCCTTTTCCCGTAGGTCATGTAAGAGGCAACTAAGGGAACTTAATTGTCGAGCAGCAGTGTCTCTCTTAAAACATCACCAAAGCCTAAATGCAATTGTCAACCCGCCTAATGGCCCAGGACCCCTGAAATATAATTTTAAATATAACAAAGTGGCAGTGCAAGTTTATTACACAATTAAATTCTCTAATTTTGTTACTAAAAATAAACTGCATATATCAATTGACACAGTAAGTATAATTGTTTAAAGGTGCTAATAGTTTTTCCAGCAAATTTCGCGGGACCGTTCAATTTTATGGCTGGCTGGGAGCTCACTGAAATCAAGGAAGTGAGCCCACGTAATTCCTAAGTGACACTTCCGTACTAAAATAAACGCTCTGTCCCCTGGCATAATTTAATAAGATGACAGAGTACTGCCCTTTGCTGTAATAGGATAAGGTGACATTTCAGTCCCCTGCTGTAATTTGGTACGTTCAAATTAGTGTCCTCTCTCCATCAAAATGGGAAGACAATGTAAATGCCAATATTATACTTGTTAATAGATCGAAAATCATAGGAAATGCGTTTTGTAAATACGTAACATTTTCAGTTACGAGCAATTAGTTCTTACGAAGAAATAATTAGTAAATTCGTTGATAAAATTATTCAAACATATTCTTATAAACTTAGCCCTTCTTAACATAATGGTGGAAATTTCCATCATAACATTAAATGCCCAAAAATTGTATAAAAGAACAAATTCATTTTAAATTGATCGTGTCTGGATAATTTAAATGTCCATTGCAGAAAAAAAAACATAGCTGTCAAATTTATTTTTAACCATTTTTCCTTTAATTTTGAACATGAATTATATCACATTGATTAATTTCTCTGGGAGGAAAGAGATTGTTAGTAATGGGGATCTAACAACCCTATTGTGCACAAATATACTCCATCAGGTCGACCTCCACGCGGTTTCCCCTGGAAAGCATCGTGATAAATTTTTAATGAATTCATCATGATGGACCAACTGATCTGCTTCATCCTCACCTATCATCCGTCACTGGTACCCCGCCAGCGTACACCGACAGCGCAGAAGGGGTTACCATTCTATCTACTCTAAAAAAACCAGACTCGAATTCAAACCCGTACCTCATTAAGATACTATACAACATTTGTCCATGTAACAGCAAATCAGACATTATTATATCTTACATTAAGTTTCAAAGTACATACTAACAAACTTATAAAGTCCCAGTGAGGATATTACAAAGATTTCGTTGCAAACTATGACATGACTTTCCATAGCATAAAATTCGCTAGAAATAAATTGAATTTAACTGTGAATTCTAAAACTCCGCGTTAAAACTTGGCCGGCGAATTAGCTGACGCGTTTAGCAACTCCGTACAATTTTAAACGCTGTTCCGCACTGACTATGTAGCTGTTACTGTGTTGTTATTTATTACCTTTATACAATATGAATAATATATCAATAATTTTTAAAGAAAATACATTATATGCCTTATTTTACGAAAATACGTTTAGAAATACTATTGCGTTATAACTAGTTGTAATCTTGGGAAAAGGGATTGTTAGTAATGCAGATTAGCAGTTCCATTGCTAACAATATACCCTGTCAGGTCGACCTCCACGTAGTCCCCCTGGAAACTATCGTGCTAAATTCCAGGTGTATTCATCATGATGGGCTAACTGACCTGATTTTTCATTCTCACTTATCATTTCTCACTGGTGCCCCGCTAGCGTATACTGTTAGCGCAGATGGGGTTACCATTTTATATTCATCCATTAAAAACAAAAACTAGTTGTAATCCGCCGCTTCGGTCGTGGTCGAGTTGTCATGTTGAATAGTCTGTAACATTCCTCAAGAAATGAACCATGAAAGTAAAAAGTAAAGAAACGTAAAAAGAATTTTTCAGATTCGACCAGTAATTCTGGAGACAGATGTATTCAAACAAACATTCAAACTTTTCCTATTTATTATATAAATATAGATATAACGTATCGTAAGGACTTCTCTATTTTTTATTCTATTTAGCTTTTTAATAAGTAGTAATTTTTTGTGATTTTTTTCTACAATTTTGAACCGATTTTAATGATTCATTATGTAGTTATAGAGTTTGCTCTTGTATTAGTACCGTATACTAATTTTTATATCAATGAATTTTTTTTTTATTTTATGACACAGAATCGATCAATGTGAATATTGTTGCATTATATAATATTAGAAAAGATTTGATAGATTCTTTGTTCGTTATGAATTAACTATACATAAGTATTAAGTATTTCTTACTCAAGCAATTTTAAAACTTCTTTCAACCATAGAAATGTTCATTATCAGCGAATAACATATCTCTTTTATTTGATATTTATATGTTGTTTCAAATACACACACACACACACATATATATATATATATATATATATATATATATATAACATAAGCTATATAATATTTTTTCTTAAAAAATATAAATCCCTAAGAAAATCACAATAACGTAACGTATATTTTATGCGTATATGGGGTCAGCTAAGCCATTGCACGTCGACCCATTGGGATTTTTCTATACTTCCCTCTGCCTTATGCCATCATTTCATTGATTCTATACGTTAACTTTAAGATATCCCGCGGTTTAAAATATTTATACTCATATGCATTTTATTATTATTTCAGCCAATGATTATTCACTGCTGGACATAAGCCTTCCCCATAAGGGCTAGTTAGGCTTTAGAGATGTTTTAAGAAGGGCAGATTACTAGTAATACAAAATTGAAAACCTGTTACCTGATTGTCTCTCCATCGTTGGTCATGAATGGCGCCCCTGACATGGTATACTGAGTCGGCATCGCCCGACTCCGAACGCGCCCGCCCGTCCACCTCACGGGTCTCGTCACTGCAAAAAAACCGCTGTATTTAATATTTACCGTTTAACAAAAAAAAAAAATAACATCTACTCTCCTTCTTTTTTTTTTTATACCACTTGGAATGGCAAACAAGCTGACGGCCCACCTGATGGAAAGTGGTAACTGTCGCCTTTACAACTACTTTAAGCATCGGTGTACTCTTGATATCAATTGTAAGAATATAAACATAAAACTTCTAGAAAAATAAAGAAGATTATTAAGTATGTATAAATTGTATTTTTCTACATAATTGGGTTCCTTATATTTGGTGAAAATATCACCTGATGTGATGAAAATCGATTATGTTTATCTTTTTCCATTATTCCATTGAAAAAACTACTTATTTTTTAAATTTGAAACATTGATATTTCAAAAAATTATGTGTTTGATTTTAGAAACTCAGATACGTACGTACTCCATACGTACTTATAGTAAACATGAATAAAATCGTAATGTAATGAAACTTCGTCATAATGAATCGAAATTGTACAAAATTTGTACAAAACAAATCATTTAAAAGGTTCAATATGGTACCATACTGATTTAATTAAAAATGATCTCTAATTCTATTAGAATAAATCGCTTTTTTTATAAAAAATAATATTATTACATAGATGTAACTATTGAAACATTGCTATTTTTGAAAAATTGTTTATTATGAGATTTCATGATTTATTTTATTAATGCCAATTTAGCCATGCACATACTAAGTTCATGTGTTGCCTCACCATATCTGTCTTAATTTCCTTTGTTTGTTATTTACTTTATATCATTTTTATCTGTTAATATTGTAAATTGCGAGTTTTGTAAGTCAATTGTAAATTACCACTACCAATCTCGTCGTACCAATACATCCTGTAACAGTAACTATATTACCTAATTCAACAAGTGACAATACATTTGTGGCATGATGGTATAAAGAACGAAATAAAAATAATGCATAATAAAACATGAGTTGTTGCGCTTCTACATACGAATAGCATCGGATATTAAAATGACCAAATAATAATGTATGTAACATAAATCCGGTTATGTAATAGCATCTACACTTGTTTGGCCCACATTATAATAGCTATAAAAGGGTTAATCAAAAACATATAAAGAGTCCAGCGGTGAAATAGAAGACGTTTGGAATTTGGCTGTCTGCCAGTGCACAGCGATCCAATACTGGTGGGCTATGTCATGAGAGATAGCGTTATAAATGTATTGTATGGAATATTTTATTTTTCATTTCAATAACGGAATAATTTTTAAGCTTTTACACAAATTATTATATCAAGTATGAAGGCGTCCACAGGCTACAGTGACCCTTTACCATTAGACTGACTGTATGCTTGTTTTCCCCTTTTATGATATAAAAATAGTATTTTAAATAAGTATTTTAGCTTTCAGTTCTTTTGTATTTTTTTTTAGTATATATGTTACACGATATACTACCCAATTCTGAATCAATATTAATAATTCTTTTCACTATCCATGGACTTTATTCCCATGATACATAATTACATATTCATATTGCTATATATAGTCTTCCATAATATTAATTGAGAGACTGGTGAACTCAAAACTGTAACTATAGCAGTTAAATTATTTATCCATAAAAATGAAATTTTGTACAAGGAATTATAGTACAATACACGTGAGCTCTAAAAGGGATTTTCCGAAATTTCCACGGCAACGAGCGATAATAGGTTACACGTGAACAAAGCCCCGGAAAAATACAATAAAATTGAAAGCACAATATTAATAGGGAAAGGAAAATTCAAAATAAAACCCTATTTGTCACACCTTACAATCTTGTCAATTGAAACAGGATACCCGTGGGGTGAACAAGGAAAAAAAAGATCAAACAGTTACTCCCAGAGCAGCTACGAATGTATTAGAAATAATGAAATATTGTATATCACAAAAAACCGCCATCAATTTTGACAAAACCAGTTATTTTAAACTGAAAACTAAATTACTGAACAAATTTTTATAAAATTTCCGTGAAACCAATCTGTAAGTATATACCTATGAAAATATATGTCTAGTTTCACCAGAGGAAGACTTTGTACAAAAGTCGCTTGCTTGGGTACCTCTCTCCTATTCGTGTTTCTACCGTGAAGCAGTTGTTCGCATGGCCGTGTTTCGGTTTGAAGGGTGGGATATGGCGTGAATTTACAGGATACAGAGGAATGATACCTGAGTCCTCAGGAATGGCAACGCATGGGGGGTATCATGGGCGAAACAGTATACTCTGTTATGTCCATGGTACTGTTCATGTCTATAGGCGACGGTTACCACTTTCCATCAGGTGGGCCGTCAGCTTGCTTGCCATTCCAAGATAAATAAAAAAAAATGCTTTCAAATAAAAAAAGAATTTTTCCAAATCGATTTCTAACTGACGGACGAGACTGACAAAAAAAACAAACAATCGAATTGAAAATCTCCTTTTTTCTGACCTTGGTTAAAAATATTTGTAGGACGAGACTTTATAAGAGGAATACGGCACATCGTGTTAATCGCGCCGCACAGTAAAGGATTAAAGCCCACCCCAGCGGCCGGGGCGAGTGAGGAGCGACATTAAATTGTCCGTAAATTAGCCCCAAGTGCGGCCGACTTATTTATCACCCGCCCGTGCTGCAGACTGCGCTCGCAATGATACTAGTACGAACTAATTGTAGCTGTATCCGTATACAGCTAGAAGCACGGATATAACGCGAATAGCTTGAGGTGAAGGGATTATTAGTATAGGCAACTAAAAGTCCTATTTTCAGCAATATACTATTACCCGTCCCCTTTCACCCCCATCTGGAAACCATCGTGGTTTGTTCCTGATCTGACATAAACGTCACATTGATTACTAGGGCGTCGTAAAATAAATTCATGAATACGAACTGCTTTAATCTTGATAAAATTGTTGATATATCTGTATGATATATTTATTTATTTATATTATAAAAGATAATAAATAATAATATATAAATAATAAGATAACGACTTCAAAACTAGGGGTGGTGGTAATTTAACAATATCCTTATATTAAGATCGCGTACAACGCGGTTTCAGAGATGTTTCCTCCCACGAACACTCAGGTTATGGAATGAGCTCCCTGCCGAGGTTTCCCAAGAGACTACAGCATGGGGTTCTTCAAAAGGGGGGTAAAGAGGTTTCTTCAGGATCGGCAACGCGCACGTAATACCTCTAGTATTGCAGGCGTTCATAGGCTACGGTAACCGCTTACCATCAGGTGGGCCGTATGGTTGTTTGCCACCTCAGTGGTATAAAAAAAAATATTAAGACCAAATAATGTAATACAAAATATATGTTAACCAAAATATCAAAATGGAGCAAAAGAATCCGATCGAAGTGAACATTGGTATCCGACTGGTATCCGAATGTCAAAACATAATATTAAATATCAGACTTTTAACATATTCGTTTATTTATTTATTTAACCCTTCTTTGCATGATTTTTTTAATGGTGATATAAATCAAAGTGATATAATTCATGTTTAAAATTAAAGGAAAAATGTTTAAAATAATAAATTTGACACCTACGTTCTTTTTTTCTCTGCAATAGACATTAAAAAGGTATCCAGACACGATCAACTTAAAGTGAACTTGGTCTTTTATATTAGTTTTAGGCATTCAATGTTATGATGGAAATTTCCACCATTATGCAAAGAAGGGTTAATTCTTTGCATAATAATAACAATAATAATAATAAATATATATAGATTGGTGTGCACAATACCAATTTATATATATAAAAAATTATGCTACTTTTCGTTGTAATTTTATAACTCAAGAACGGGCTCACCTATCCAAACCAAATGTTTAAGCTTTGTTCGGACTATTTAGTAGATGGTTTCTGTGAATTTTTGTGTCAAATTCAAACTTTTTTTAAGATAGGGATTGTGCTGTCAAATTGAAACTTTTTCAGTGTTAACAGTTTTTTTTTGTTGAATAAATAAATTTGATGTTAAATTTTTTTTTATTATTATTATTTCACTGTATACGTAGCGAAGCACGTACCGGACCGCTAGTTATTTGTAATACCTAATATGACAGAGGTAATCAAATGTACAAAGGCGAGCTTAACTCTAATAGAATTCTCTTCTAGCAAACCCAAAGTGGAAAGGAGCATCAATGTCAGCGGGTAGAGCGGTGCTTTTTTTTATACAACTTAGAATAGCACTAGGTACAATATAGTGACAATTTTTAAACAAAAAAAACTATTTATTATTCGTTATAGAACCAGTATACAGATTTTATTTATTTATTTATTTCTTATTGCATTCCATAATATAATTAGTACATAACGTTTCAATTATGGACCCTGTTGGGCACAGCAAGTAGGAGAGAGGAGGACAACACTTTGCACATTTTGCTGTATATTACTCCTTATTGTAAGTCCCTGGTTATGGTTTCTTATGGCTTATGGTTATTGCCAAATAGGGCAATGACCTGATGCGTAGGTAACAATCGCTGTAAGTATCTGATTCCGTTTACGACAGTTATAAATGAACTTATTCTTAAATCAGAATAAACCGTCAATAAAATTGTACTTACATATTATGTGACAATTTTTTTTTTAAATATATCATCATCATCATTACAGCCGTTAACTGTCCAATAGAAAACATAGGCCTCCCCCATAAAAGGACCGCTAGTTGCCAGGGCTTTACAAGCGAGTCGACAACCACAGTTAGATTTTGGTGACATTTTAAGAGGGACGCTGCTGCCCATCTCTGGAGCATTAAGTTGATCATAATACATATAAAATATGTAAAAACACCAGAGGGAGACTTTGTACAAAAGTGGATTACTTGGGTACCTCTGTCCCATTCGTGTTTCAAACGTGAAGCAGTTGTGTTTGCATGGCTGTGTTTCGGTTTGAAGGGTGAGATATGGCGTCAATTTACTGGGTACAGAGGAATACCACTTGAGTTCTCAGGAATGGCAACGCATGGGGTGTATTATGGGCGAAATAGTATACTCTATT